ATACCTATTTTATAGTTTAATTTTTCTATATAAAATCTTAATGGGATAAAATGCGCATGATTCGGAATCATGCGCATTCATGCGCATGATTGAGGAATCATGCGCACGCATGAAACCCACCTCTAGTTATAGGATTCTATTCCATTTACTTATTAAATCATATGGCTATAATTAAAGTTTGTTCCGCCATTCTTGAGCTTTTTTATTATCTAAAGAAGTTCCTATACCATTTTGGTAACACTTAATGAGACTTTCTTTTCCTAAACTATCTCCTCCTTCTGCTGATATTAAATACCATTCAAAAGCCTTCTTTTCATTTATAGAAGTTCCAATGCCATATTGATAGCATCGACCAACTTCATATTGTCCTGAACTATCTCCTCCTCCTGCTGATCTCAAATACCACACAAAAGCCTTCTTTTCATCTATAGAAGTTCCGATACCTTCTTGGTAACAGCGAGCAAGACTAGTTTGTCCCGAACTATCTCCTCCTTCTGCTGATTTTAGATACCACTCAAAAGCTAGCATTTTATCAACATTAGTACCTATTCCATCATTATAACAACGAGCAAGGTTTAATTGCCCTAAAGAATTTCCTTTTTCTGCAGATTTTGTGTAGTTCTCAAAAGCTTTTGCATAATCTCCTTCATCTTCATAATAACAACCAGCCATGCAGTGTCCCAAATAATTCCCATTTTCAATCGATTTTATAATCCATTTCAAACCTTTTTCTTCATCAATATGAGTTCCTTCGCCGCACATTAAGAAAATTCCAACTGCAACTTGTCCACTTGCATTTCCTTCCTCTGCAGATTTTAAGAACCAATTAAATGATTCAGTTTCATTTTTAAAAATACTATAATCATAATCATAACATTGTCCAATATAAGATTTTCCAGAACTTGAACCTTTGGCAACTGATTTTAAAAATAAATATAGTGCCTTTAGTTGATCTTCTATAATTCCTTTTCCATCAATATAACATAAACCAAGAGAGATCAATCCAATAATCTGATTTTCTTTTAATAAATTGCTCATTTTGATTGAAGAATTAAAATTTTCGGCTGCTTGTTTATACATATCGAATGCCTTGTAGTAATCAACGATTGTTCCAATTCCATGCTCATAAAAGAATCCAATAATGCTTGTGAAATAATATTTAAACTTGTAATTATTATAATGTTCAAGAATATCTTTAGAATTTTTGTTATGTTCAACCATATGATTTTTCAAGCAATAAATTACAGAGCTTACTGAAGAAGGAATTACAGAACCTTGTACATTAAATTGTGTTATAAATAATTGATTTAAATCATAAAGAAATTGATAGTCAATATTATTCTGTTTACTTGCATTAACTAGAGATATTGGAATTGTTTTAACAATATTTAAAGTTGATAAAGAACTTATTAAATTTAATGAATTATTTCGATCGTTGACCATACTATTTTCACTTAATATATTTATAATTGAAGAAATTAACATTAATTCTTTTGCTGTTTTATCATGCAAATCAGTATAATAGTTTAATAATTTTGTTGAATTTGAATTTCTTATTTCCGACATTGGTTGATCTTTGTTCTCATTCTTATTACAAACTGTAAATGTTTTTTCATCAATAACTATTAATATTTCATTATAGTTAATATTATCTAAATCATTAAAAATACGCTGAATAGTGGGCCGTTGATTTGAATTATGTTGCCAACATTCTAAAAAAAGGACAAATTTTTATATAAATTATAATATAGTGTGATTAGAACCACATAAAATATCAATACATGATTTTACCTGTATATATCTTAATATAATTTTTAGGTGTTCCGGGTACTACAATTTCACGTTTACCATCAACAATTTCACTTAGTAAATTGGAAATACAGTATAATTCAGTTTTAAATGGAATAATTCCACTTGAAATCTCCCAAAGAAGAACTCCAATACTATATATATCGGAACTTTTGTTAAGTTTGTAAGTTTCAATATTTTGTAAATATTGAGGATCTGTATACTGAATATATTTAAACATATTCGGAAATGTATTCTGATCCCGAAATATATAAAGCTTAATATCCCCTTTATTGACAAATATTTTCCTGGAATTCTAAATTATTGAAACAAATATATTAATTAATAATAAATTAGAATTTGCTAAATAAATGAATAAATAAATAAAAATAAACCAAAAAAATCAAAGGATACCAAGTTTAAATGAATCAAATTATTTTCGTGTAAGTATTTTACGGCGCCAATAATCTGCTTTGCAAGGTGTAACTTATCATTCCAATTAATTTTGTTAAAATTTTGGTTTAAATATTGACAAAGTGTTCCATTAAATGCATATTCATGAACAAAAATAATTTCATTTATGCTTTGTTTAATAATCGCTATAAATTTTAAAATATTTTCATGTAAGTCTAACTTCTTGTATTGTTTTAGCTAAATAATAAACATGTTAGTATATATGTTAATAATGATAAGTTTTATAATAATATTTTTTAATATACAGCAGCTCGAACTTACATCATTAATAAAATCTTCCAATGTATACTTTTGAAAGAAAACGACTCTTTTTAAAATCATAGTTTTATTGTATTTTTTTGAAAAAACCTTACAGCTATTGCTAGATAACATCGTAATATCGGTCTCAAGTTCTTCAAAATGATAAGGAAAATAATTATTACGGTATTGCTCAGAATTATCCATACAATTCTCCATTTTCACATGTGTTTTATTTTTAAATTGTTGAATCATGTTTAAATATATGAGTGACGAAAAGGGAAAACCTGTAAATCATCTCACTTAATAAATAAAATGATTTACAGGTTTTCCCTTTTCGTCACTCATATACTAAAATGACTGATAGAGGCCAAAATGATAGTTGTACAACTTTTTATTGCTGCAGCATAGTATACGTAGCATGTCGGCGAGTTTTATAAAGAACCCTAAAATTTTGGGGTATTAACCAATTGGTTGGCGGGACAATCGTTAGATCATTAATAACTTATGCTATAGTAACGATGTTATGCATTACTTTGAATTAAAATTTAGCTACGTAATGAGCCGGTAATATAAAAAAAGTACCGTTTCTTATCGTGAATACACACATACACTTTGAACATCGTAGCGGGTGCTTATTCTCGATAGGATCATCGTTATCTAATCCACCATTCAAACTGCTGTAATTTCAATTTGTTTGAATATCGATATCGACCATACCATTAAGTCACAAGGGTATTTATTTCATGATCGACAATTTTAATTAGGTAGGGTGCTTATTCACGGTGGGTGCTTATTTACAAGAGGTATTTTTAAGTTTTTAGGGTACTTTCTAGGATTGGCTGATAAGTTTACTACTATTTTATTAGATCTGGGGACTCATAAAAAGGCCCAACTTGGAAAATCCGCCAATATGGTCACTTGGGTACTTTTCGTTGCTGTGCATAAAGCTTTAAAATATCACAAATAATAGCCCCTAATCGAAGTTTCAGTTGCTAATTACCGCAGTAATCTACTGTTCTAAGTATGAACTATTCACTATTAGTGCGTGTCATCAACTAAGTAATCAAACGATGATAGATAATTGCAGCATCTATATAATAAGGAAGAATGGCGTGTTACACAGCCTTCGCTATGCCACGTGGTTTACGCTACTTTGGGGTGCAGGTCATATCGATATAGTAAATTCTCATAATAACCCTTTTTTATAAATTTAAGCAGTAATAACTTTTAAACTAGCAAACCCACACAAATAAAATTATACTTGCCGGGTTTGTTTTAACATACTTTTTAAAGTAATAACGCTCTTTTGGGGGGTTTCTTATCAAATATCCGATATTTTTTATCTTACCCCGAAACCGTTATAAGAAAGTTGTCGTGTTACACGACATGCAACGGTCCAAACAGAATTTTTGGATTTTTTTATCTAAAAGTGCATCAAAAACGAGTATTTTGCACAAAAATTGAGAGTCCTTCGCTATATACTCAACAGTTGCATAAAGTATTTCAAAATTTGAAATAACTATAAATTTTTATCCAAGAGGTTTTAAAAAATTTGTTTAGTAACTTTATAGAACTATGTATGCTCTATATATTGCCAAATATCGTTTTAAACTCTCATCAGTATATAAAGTTGATGCATTTTTGAAAACTGAAATTTTATATACAAATTTATAAAGTTATATACAAAATTTCAATTTTCAAAACATATCAACTTTTTACAGTAATAGATTTTAAAAAGATATTTGGCACATATATAGAGCTAATATAACTCTATAAAATCACTAAATAGATTTTTTCAAAAGCTCTTAGATAAAAAGTTATAGTTATTTAAAATTTTATGTAACTGTTGAGTATAGACTTCTAGCATCATATTTGTTTTTTTTCCTTGCCTTTATTTTGTTCTGGTTATACACGATTCAGTGATCTGATCAATTTTTATACAATCATGTAATCTCACCTAAATTGAAAATTAGCAATAGTTTTAAAATTCTATACAGCTGCAAACAGTCATTTCTAAACAAAGTAATATGAAAAATACTCATTAATCTTGAACCTATAAGTAAAGTTCAAGAATAAATACCAGACTACTATATATGAAAACTTATTTAATATAAACTATATAAAAGTTTGCTAAGATGTTGATATGGTCTTGGGCTAATATATATTTAAAGTTCGTGAACTTCACAAAATTTTAGCTTAATTAATGATTACTAATTAAAATTTGTAGAAAATCAGTATTGATGTTTTAATGATGAAACCAATTAATAAAAATTTATCAAATTTCAACAAATTTTCGCCATTTTTATAATGTATTTTATGAACATTTTACTTAGTAGTTTACTTAGTAAAAAATTAAGTTTTATATGTAGTGTTTTTCACCAATTCGATTTCGAAAATCATATCGGGCGTTACTTTGTCGCCCATTGTACGTTTGTGATGTAAGCATAACCATTCTGAATTAAAATTTCCAATTTGTATAACATAAAAATAGACAATTATAGAATATTGATTATGTTTTTATTTAATATAGTCTTAAATAAATGGTATATCAGAAATTATTATTTAATAGGCTACATATTAGTTAATTTTTTTTCTGTGGCCAAAAAAATTCCCGGAAATAATTATCATATATTCTATAATCAAGAATGTCGATTCAATTTCGATGATTCCGTGCTTAAACGAATGCTGCAAACTGTAGGATTTGATTATTTTAAGGTGGCATATACAGATTAGTCGTTCCTGAAATATGGCAATAAATGGAACCAAATATTAATAGTAGAGTCAGATTTCAGTGGAAGTAAGCAAATATTTTGTCAAAATTATACGGATATTTCATGAACGGTAGACTCGTTTTCATTGATTCTTTGTTTTAAATGAATGCTATGAATGTTAGCATCGTTTAGTCCATAAATTATCAAAGATGGATCAGTCATTCTTCAAGTATCGAAGCAGATGATCGTACACCATGCAATGATTTTATATATGTTTGATGATTTTGAACTTAAAACGGATCATGCTAGTTATGACATTCGTTTAACCCAAAATTGAAGAATAATTAGTCATTCTGAAAATACTGAAATATAAACTCATACAGGTGGATCCCCAAAATTCCGGGTCGGAATACTTCGGATTTAGCCCGGCATTTAGTTAGCATTTAGTAATACAAGTTAACC